CTTCAACTCGTGCAGGATTACTGGTTTTTCTGCTGAAGGTCTTTTTTAAATGATAAAACATGTTTTGATTTGCATGTGCATATGGGGTGATAGTAGTCATCTTGTAAAGCAAAAAAATGTTGCGCCATTCGCATCTTGTCGTGACTATGCAGAAGGGGGCGCCATCTAAATCTACTTAACCGGCTGCGCGGGCGGTCGCGCGCGCACCATCACTGCGCGCCGGAACCAAGGGCAGAGCTTGCTGTCGGCGGACGTTTGAAGAACTGTTTCAGTATGTTAGCGAACTCCACTTTATTACGATGAGTGTGGTGCTCAATACTTTCACTGCTGTTGGGATGAACCTTTTCGTGCTGGAGATGGGTGAGAGGACTGCATAAAGCAGGTCCACACCAAAAACTACTTAAAATAGGTTGCTTTCTCCTTTCAATGACCAATACCTTCCTCGAGATAGGTTCAGCACCGCATCTGTGATTGTTTCCGTCGAGTGTACCACTCAGGCAGATGGAAGCTGTTTTGCTAATGGAGAGTTTCCATATTTGTGAACCATATGCTATGCGAAACATCTTTATGTGGTATATCCTCTTTAGAATACCCAGTTTTGTCAGAAAATGTTCTCTTGCAAGCTGAAAATAAACATAAAAAGGAATTCTGGGCAATTCATACCTACCCTCAACCCTTCTTCAAGCTTTAGCCTTAATGGGCCTTATCATTCCTTGTAGATCGTCGAATAAGCTGTTAATCCATGCTAGACATCTCGACTTGGATGACTGGTATTTATAAGTTCAGAAAAAGAACATTTACCTAAGTCATATAACATGTAATATTTCCGAATCTCCTGGTTCTTTTTTTCTCAACATACTATGTCAAACATGTGAATGCAAAGTTAGGTCTCAGCATTCGTATGCTCTGCGTATAAATTCATTTTACTACAGTGAAAGCTGTTTATCCAAGCTAGACTGGGTCGCAGTGACGAGCTCATCTTGAGTGTGGTCGCATCAATCTTGACAACTTCAAGATATCTAAACACTTTTCAGACAATATTGCATTGGAGAAAATAGAAAGAAGTGAGCAAAATTCTCATGTTTGCAAGAACTTCTATGCTAGCTTGTCTCTAGCAATATAACTAAAACTGCGTGTATATCAAAGCATTTTCGCTAGGATAATGATCTGGGTCGGTAGTAAACCTATCGAAACTCAGAGTTAACTCTGAGTTATCTCTGAGCTAACGCGCAACTTTTTGACCCCCTTAACAGGTGTTTGAACAGATCAAATCCGGAAAGTAATGATATGGCAGGATTCTCCTTAACACGTAGTTTATTCCTAGTAGCACAACATTGTCCAAATCGTCCTGCACAAGAAACAGCGCCACCAAACGCGCAACTAGTGTCTGCAATAACTCTGAGTTTGGTGCGAGTTCCAGTCTATCGTGGAACTCAGAGATAACTCTGAGTTTGGTCAGAGAAAGAGAAATAGTGCGCAAAAGAAGAGGGGCAGCTAAAAAGTCCTCCGGGGTACATTTTGCTCGTAGTTTAAGCAGGCATGATGGGGGTATCGTGGTGCGCAGTGATTTGTAAAATTTTGAAATTTTGTAAAAACTTGGCCCAGGGGGTTATTCGGTGTGCTAATCACGCATATGGTACCCATTTTGCACTATGGGGTCATGTAGAGGTGTTACGGTAGGTTTACGGTAGATGGAAGAAAATCACGAAACTGATCGAAACTTGGTACACTGGGGTTATTCGGGGCGCCGATAACGAATATGACATGCAGATTGTACTGTGGTGTGAACTGACGAGGTTACGGTAGGTTTACTGTAGATAGGAGAAAATCACGAAACTGATCGAAACTTGGTACACTGGGGTTATTCGGGGGCGCCGATAACGAATATGACATGCAGATTGTACTGTGGTGTCATCTGACGAGGTTACGGTAGGTTTACTGTAGATAGGAGAAAATCACGAAACTGATCGAAACTTGGTACACTGGGGTTATTCGGGGCGCCGATAACGAATATGACATGCAGATTGTACTGTGGTGTGATCTGACGAGGTTACGGTAGGTTTACTGTAGATAGGAGAAAATCACGAAACTAATCGAAACTTGGTACACTGGGGTTATTCGGGGCGCCGATAACGAATATGACATGCAGATTGTACTGTGGTGTCATCTGACGAGGTTACGGTAGGTTTACTGTAGATAGGAGAAAATCACGAAACTGATCGAAACTTGGTACACTGGGGTTATTCGGGGCGCCGATAACGAATATGACATGCAGATTGTACTGTGGTGTCATCTGACGAGGTTACGGTAGGTTTACTGCAGATAGGAGAAAATCACGAAACTGATCGAAACTTGGTACACTGGGGTTATTCGGGGCGCCGATAACGAATATGACATGCAGATTGTACTGTGGTGTCATCTGACGAGGTTACGGTAGGTTTACTGTAGATAGGAGAAAATCACGAAACTGATCGAAACTTGGTACACTGGGGTTATTCGGGGCGCCGATAACGAATATGACATGCAGATTGTACTGTGGTGTCATCTGACGAGGTTACGGTAGGTTTACTGCAGATAGGAGAAAATCACGAAACTGATCGAAACTTGGTACACTGGGGTTATTCGGGGCGACGATAACGAATATGACATGCAGATTGTACTGTGATGTCATCTGACGAGGTTACGGTAGGTTTACTGTAGATAGGAGAAAATCACGAAACTGATCGAAACTTGGTACACTGGGGTTATTCGGGGCGCCGATAACGAATATGATTTCACGTCGTCATTTTCAATTTCCATTCACTTCGTCTCATATCATGGCGATACTTACTCACAACACTAGTGTTTTACACAAAGTTTTATTCATCTCAACAAATTTAACACAGAAACAAAGAAACAGTAGCGCAAATGCTAAACCAATACGGCAATCAAGAAGGTCAAAATTATTCTAACTCCTCCACGAATTCTTGCTGAACTCAGTTTTGGCTGGGCATTTGGTCAGGCAGCTGCAATGAGTAGTATGAGCTCTTCTCCAATAATCAAAGAGTTTTGTGAAAGTAAATTCAATAAAGAGAAAAAATTAGCAAATATTTGATAAAAAATCGATAAAATCAAGAAGATAAAACCAAAAATTTGCAAATTAGAGAAAAAATAATTTTAATTCAATGTAACCCTTTTTCAAAGAATTTAGCTGCAATGCAGTATGAAATTCACATGAGACAGTTTTCAAACTTATTAACGTAAAAAATTATGAGACTACCTAATAATTTTGTCATATAATAATATGATCTATGACTCAATAATAACGGGCTAAGGGTTGTTTACGTCTGTCTGTCACGAAATTCGTACAGTAAGTTTCAGCAAAGGTCCTGAGCTAGAATTTTGATCTTAGCACCCTATCAGCCCTTCGCTAAATTTCTTGCTCCTTGACATGGAGATTTTCCCATGTAGTTGCTTTCTCACCTTACAGCATTTCAGTCACATAGCGTCTTATGTCCTCTCCTAAAGGAGGATGGGGCATAGTCCCTTTTCTTCTTCCTAGTGTGCGTCTCGTCGTTGCATTTATGCACATTGACATGTTGTGTAGCACCGCACATGTCATTATTATTTTCACACCTTTTTCAGGGGCAACCCTTAAATCGTTCAAGATACAAAATCTTCTTTTCCAGCGACCAATTGTCATCTCGACAATTGATCTCATTCTACAATGCTCGCGGTTGTATGCCGCTTTTCTACGGTCGCCACGGATGCTTGTGGCTCGATAAGGTGTTATGATGCCTCCTCCATTGGCATATCCGCTATCCCCCAGAAGCTGATTTCCTTCCACCGCCCTCCCCTCCCTGAATACGGCTCCTGCTCCACACTGATTCCAGACATAAGAATCATGCACTGAGCCAGGAAAGCCGGCGTTAACATATCTTATGTAGCCGACGGCATCAGCGATGACACACACATTCAAACACGAGTAACCCTTTCTACTCATGTACTGATACCCATCAACTGATGGCGTTTTAATCGGAATCAGGGTGCCATCCATCCACACAGCCGATTACATCTAGATGAACGCGTTTTACCAAAGTTTAGAATGTCCTGCCTACCACTCACTAACAAATTTGCCAGCTCTCGCGAACTCATCGGCTCTTCTTGCGCACCAGTCTCGATTCTCCGGTTTGAACCGGCGGATTATCTCCGGCCGGTTCAATGCATTCACAAATCTCGCGACACAGTTGGATACAGTCTTCTGACTGCATCCAACTGTGTCGCTCACGACAACTTGGTGCGAGTTCGTGCACAGGTATCTGATGCCCACAAGCACCTGCAAAGTGCTCGTCAAGTCAAAAGCTTTCGAAACGACATTTTTACCTGCGTTTTTTTCGAAAGCGCCCATGGCTGTTGACCATCCTCCCCTAGATAAGGACTTAGTACTTGCGTTATCCAGTTTAATTGGTTCTCATTGAACCGATACCGCGTCCTTATCAGGGCCTGATTGCTTGCCAGATGGTTAATATTTAAGCGCAAATAAGGCACGTTTCTATGTCGTCTTTTAGAGCCCCAAAATATATATGACATGTTGTCTTTCTTTCTGGAAAGTTCGTTGAAAATAGTATTGGATAACGGAGAAAAGTAAGCTTGAGAGACTGCACTCCTTGAGCAAAGAACAAAGTCATAATTTGCAATACTTTTTGGTGCAACAAATTGAAAAAGTTTTAACAAAGAAAGGCGTACATGTGGTAGAAACAGATTTACTTGATGATCATTCAGGTACTTCACTAGATTCCATGTTGGCATCCCCAAATTCTTGTCTCATTGCATCATTAGGGAAAGGAATGGATTGAGACTGCTTGAAGATATATAATTATTATACTAGGTCGTATCTTTCAAGTTCTAACCTCATTTGTTCCCCCAATTTTCTGCAACATTTCTTTCATCAACTCCAATAGGTTGTGCATGATTTCAATCTGAATGGTGGCCTGTCTGGCCCAAGCGTCAAAACATTTTGTTTAAAACTAAATAGTACTTCATTATCGTTATGATTATTATGCTATATATGCGTCGTGTACCTTAATTCTCTTCGCTTCTAGTTTCCTTAGTTGGGCCAACGACACATTGTGAGGATCCGGCTCATCGTCTTCGTCAAAAGTAGTTGCATCTATTTCGTCTTCGAAGGCCTACATGTTCCAAAAGCAGTAACCTCTGAGAGCAGTGAGCGAGCAGATATGGGAGTATTTCACCTTCAGCTTATTGCTGAAGGCCTACTAATCAAATCAAAAGAATTACACTTCTGTGTGCTATGTTTCAGCAACATCCAAGGTTTTTATTAGTCCTTTATTGGCTAACGTTTATTATTATTATTTTTTATTGGCTAATAAAAATCTTGGTTGTTGCTGAAACATAATACATACGAGTATTCGCCGTGCCAAGATTCAGAAACTGCCAAACTTGGAATGATTTACACTCCGCTTAATCGTGCGTTCCTGTTTTTTTCTAATTTTTTCGTGTTAAAAGATCACATCGATGACATACTTCTGACAGTAAGTCTAGTGGCATTGGTATGAGCGAAGTACTCTCAGATTTGCCCACACTGCTTTCAAGAAGAGGTGCATAAGCATTTATGTTTACGAGAAATGCCTTTTGACGTGAAGTGACCTTATCAACGACTATTATACAATTGGAGGTATTAGGAGAAAACATTGTTCCACGTCTGCTAAATGGACTTTTGCAAAAAGTTACAAGGATTCTACTTTCAGACTCCAAATCCGGGTTCTGCGAAAGTCAGGAGGAAGAATGTAAGTGCTTTTCGGGCACTTTGTTTTTGAAGGAAGCCACTAAATTTATCATCACCTAAGTACAATCAAAGCCTGTTATTTCGCTCAGTAGACCTATTAAATGCGGAACGAAAAAAGGAACGCTAATTAACGCTAACGCTTGCAAGGGATATAAATCTTGTTGGAGAAGGTGATGGTTGACATGCTTTCCTAGTTAGTTGATAGTCAATGTATTTCTCGATTCAAAGTATTTACCTCAGTGTCATTTTCTTCCGACTGTATACTTCTAAGATCTTCGTCATGAAATTCATCCTGATCTAAGATTGGTTGCTCCTGCTGTATTATTAGGAAAAAAGGCGAAAAACATTCGAGCACCTATTGGCACTTAGACGATACCTTTGCTAGTTGCAGGCTATCTGCACTTTTCAGTCCCTTGTGAGCAGTTTTCGAGGTATAGTAGTTGTACATTTTCAAATCTTCATCGTTTAATTGGGTTTTATTGATTTCATGTTCCTTCAGTGGGGAGATTCCACCTCCAGTCTTCAATCTATATCTGTGAATAATTAAGTTGAGAAGTTGCGATTAAAGAGCTGATAAAGGTGGCACCTTTTCTCTAAATTATCTGCTCCAAGCACCTTCTTTCTGCGGTTGTTAAAGTGATTTCTTATTTGTAACGGACTTAGATGAACTTTGAATTTTCTAAATATCTCATCCGATATGTTTGCCCAAGCCTCTCTGCGCACTCTATTCGACTGCATCATTCTTATAGAGGAGTTCTCTAGTATAATACTTCTGTTTCCCATTACAGCTTTAACGATATAGTCAGAAACTGCCGCAGAAACAGGCGGTATCCGTATTCTCTTCATCCTGAATGTATGTGAATTCAGGACAAACTATAATTTTTATTATTATTTCACGTTCAGGTGGATGTAGCTTTTAGTGAGAAGTTAGCGGTAATTGAAATTGTCGCGTTAAACATGCTGCAACATAAATTTAGAGTTACAGTCGTAGCAGCAAATTATAGGAGTACTACGCCCCGAAACTAAACCATAATTGCAGCTTAACCAACTTTGGTCTTGAAAGGACACTTTGAGGAATTTTACAGCTATTTTTTGCGTCTCATGATGCTCATAGTATCTTCGTTGACTTAGCGAAAAATGCGTATTGCCTACCCGAAGGTCAACAACTTAGGAAAATGGACAGAATGGATGGATATACAGACAAATAACAAGAAAAGACCCCAAGACTTTCTTAAAAATAAAACAGACAAAACTGATCGATAATATTCAATACCATCATCACTAATCCTTAGGGTATGGCAGGTTCTGAAGCTTAATTTGCTAAAACTATGCAGGCTATCTCGTAGTAAGAAAAAGTGGCGTGTATGGGAGTGTGAACTAGGCTAACATACCGAGTTAAGAATGGAACAAATCATGCCTGAATATTATATGAAGTGCTAGAATTGATATCATACCGCTGATTTCAGTGAAGATAATCGGAAAACGACAATAATTGATCAATAATAAATGAAAGAAGAAAACTTTGTTTTGACTTTCAATACATTAAAATCGAGGCTTTCGAGCGCATCTACGAGTTAGCAATAATGATGGCCATATAAAAATACCTTAAAAAGAATACAGAGAAACTTACTTTGTGCGATCACGGTTTTGAATCTTTTCGCGCACAAGACCGGTCTGTTGAGATAAACCACAGCTCCGCGATAGGAATGAAAATCAAAATGAGGGATTAAAACATAGAATGAATGCAAAGATAAGATAAGATAAGAGAAAGAATCATGACTTATAATAAGCGGCTTAATCTGAAGTTGTATGGAGTTTGTCCGTTACGAAATTACAGTGAGGAATGATTTACGATACTAAACATCATGTGAGGTTAAGATAGCGAGTATGGTTCATTTTTAACTACAGCTCACGTTGCAATAAACCGAACAATGATTTGAGAGACAAGCTCTCAGAAAGTGAGTTTACCACGGTTCACGATGCCAGTGCGAACCTCTGCGAAGCAGAGGTGAAGCACTGGTGCAAAGATAAGCTATCGTCTGCGCCCCAGAGAGGTTCCCATAGGTACCAATTCATCTCGCTGCCTTTCGTACTTTTGAACGTGTTAACCTCGGGCACTTCCGTTGAAAGCTCAGGAGAAACATGTCAAAAAGAGCGAAAAGCAGTGTCGCACCACGTACGCACGCTGGTTCACATGGGAACCTCTCTGGGGCGCAGACGGTAAGAAATGCTTCTGTCTGAGATGACAAGTTTTGACGTGTTGCTGCAATGAAAACATTAATGCAAAGCAATTGTGCATTGCGCGGTGCATTGTGGTCTAGTGGCTTAGGGATGGGATCTTTGCGCTAGACCATGCAGGTTTGAGACCCAACTTCAACATCGCTTTTGCAGCAAGGTACGTAACAGCTCCTCAAGCAAACTTCGAGCTTGAGAGTTGGAATTCGGAATTACGAAAGCGGAACTCAGAGTTTCAATAAGCGTAACTCAGAGTTTCAAAAACGTAACTCAGAGTTATCTCTGAGTTAACGCTGAGCTTTAAACTCGGAGTTTCGACCAGATTACTACCGACCCTGAGGACTGTATAAGTATACTGTATAAGGACTTTCTTCTCCAGTAAAGTATAAGTACACTTTGCTGGAGAAGAAACTACCAACATTTTCATCAATAAATCAAGCATCATACGCAGTCTCAATCACTGCAATAGTTATGACCTGAACAACAAAGACACATCTATCAGAACCTTCAGAACACACAGGCCAAACTACTCATACTGCTTTATGCAGTCTTTAGCATCATGACCATTGTACAGCGAGAAACACTCATACATCGCAATAGTTCCTCGGACATCAACCTCTGGCAACAATCGAGCCCTTGGTCCCGACACGCAAACACCCGCGCAGCCGCTTAAAGGCAGCGGCTCGGCTCATTGATCTACCACAGATTGACACAGATGGATAGGAGGCCCTCCAATTGAACCAAAACAGCAACTCCGCGCCGAAAATGTGAACTCTGCAAGCCAGGGGCGGCTCAAGCGCCGCTCCCCTTCCTCCTTTCGCTCCCCTAACACCTTGTTCGAACGAGTGCTCTCCGCGACACGGTGCGGGACCCTCCAACCGCTTTCCCGCATTGTGCATGCTATACAAAGTGGAGTTTTGCGATTTCGCAACAGCTCTGGCAGTGTGCCAAGCACGCGAATGGGGCGGGGCTTGTTTACAAGCGCGTGCTTGGCACTTTTGGAGCCATTCCGGTCTTTCGTCAGCTAAGGACAGGCATGCCGATGCTCTTCTACTCTGTGTGGTGAAGAAAAATGGAGGACCTTGGTGCAGATGCAGACGAACAGGATGCTAGGTATTTAGTTACACTTTGATGTAAGGACGATCAAGTTGATCGCCAGCCATTGTGAGTGCAGTGTTTCACAATGGTGTCAACAGTGTGGACCGACGAGCACAAAAGCAGCTTTGCTTATGCTTCGTGGAAAGCTTATATATCGCTAACGGGTTTCTTATTTAGGTAAGGCGGTTCAGCTCGCAGGTCTTGTCATTTTCCAAGCTCAGACTTTCATGTATTTGTGTCTGCACGTGTCCCATTCTCTTCATTCTGCTGTTGTGTTGCGAAAATGCAAAACATAGGTTTTGCCGTAGTTTATCGGAGGCAAAAGCCAAAATTACAGACAGCAGGGTTTTCGTGCCAGGGCCTTCCGACTTTCCTTTGAAAATTCTCGTCCGAGCTGCCTTTTGGAAATTGAGAAAACGTCCCGAAAAAGGCCTTTTCACCCCTTTTAAAGCTCAGATTCGGGATCTAAGGGTCGAGAAGGCCCAAAACATGCAAAAAGATGGAAATGCAAAATCTGCCGGGACGCTGCCTTTGAGTAGATTTAGATGGCGCCCTATGCAGAAGGCATCTGAAGTGCTGACGTATCGTCCCCTCCACAATTACTGCTACCCTTGGTCTGCGTCTCAGACCTGCCACGTGTGGCTAACATGTTGGCAACATGGCAACAACATGTCTGCAGATTTTGGCCACGCCAAAGTGTTGCTTCCAACTTGCCAACGTGTTCGTCACACGTGGCACGTCCGCGACGCCAGAAGTGCAGTGGCAAATGTGAAAGGGTACTATCATCTCTGCAGTTTTGTTAGTCTTCCGGTATACTGCGTTCAGCTCCATACTGACTTGCATATTTCTTGCATAGGACAAGCACAGAATAATCAACTTCGAATGCCTCGAGTTGCGACAGCGCGCGTATGCAGCGCAAACCCCTAGCGCTGCGAGCGCGCAAATTCAGCCGACGATTCGGCCTGATCCCGATTGGTCGCGACGATCAAATCGCGTGAAGTCTGTCCGGGGCCTAATTGTACTATTGAAACGGAAGAACTTATGATTTTGGCAAAAGCTCGTTATCTACCTTTCACTCTGAACCTTTTGCTGAACTTGAACTCAGGTTTTGAAAAGTTGTTTGATGAAAGTGCTTTTTGTTTTTAGTTTTGCGAACAGTCATAGCTATGTAAAAGAACAACCTCGAAAACATATATTCCAATTTTGGTCATGACTGACTTAGTGTTATTACTGAACTTCAACTTGGAGTACTTTTTTAGAATCTCAATTTCAGCATATGCAATTGCGGATCACCTGATTTTCATGCTTGTCGAGATACAAAATTTTTAGCAAAGTCTGTGCAGTCACAGCAGCTACGCAATTCCTCTGCGCCTGGTTTTGACTACTGTATCAAGTCGATGACCTGTTGGGATCTATAGTTCTAAACTGTCATTGATTCTGCGAGATTGAGGAATGTTTTCTTTATTGATCCTCTTGAGAAACTTCTTTCAATAACCATTCATGCCTAAATACCGCGGTATTTATGCAATGTTATATTCAGTCTCTGTTTACCCGTGTCTTATCTAACTAACTACGTTGCAATAAGTATACTTACAGGCTCGCACTTCACGGCTCTCAGATCATTCATGGCAAGTTGTGCGGAAGAGCATTATGAATCTGTCCTCGCTACTCGCTATTGTAGACGCAGCCCACTAATCGAAATACTTTCTGAAAAGAACAAAGTTAGCTTGTTTAAGTTCGACTGTTTTTGACTTTATAATTTCTATATTGCAGACAATTTTATGGCGACAGTTGTGGATCTGGTTGGCAGAAGCGGAGCTTGAACTCGGTTTGAAACAGGTTAACTTGCCTTTTTTATATTTTCTTTCATTTCGTGATGACGTTATTGCGTTGCTCGACTAATTTACGCTCGCGGTCTTTGTTGTTCCTTCTTTTCTGCTTGCAATAAAAAAATCTGTGCAGTACTCAAAACGATAGGTCAAGTAAGAACGAACGAAAAAAGAGTAGTCCAAAGAGTCCTCAAAGGAATAGCCTTCACGTTTCCCGCGCTCTCTATTGTAAGCTGTCTCTGACCTCGGCAACTTCGGCAACCCCGGCAACCGTTGCTGGCAACCTATGGCCGTTCCCATACAGGTCAAAGCGGATCGAATCCAGATTCGATCCGAATCACGGGCAAGTATAACACCATCTGCAGGGGCAAATTTTGGCAGGAACGGCAGAAACGCGCAAAGAACGGGGTAACATCGAACACCTGTTGGTGCACCATCAGATGCATCTGATTTGTCTCCGTTAATAAAGCTAAGGTCGCAGGGGTGTAGAGTTGGGTACTACGATGAACTCTTCAGATAACACCGGAAGCCATAGCTCAAATGAAGGAAATGCGGGATAATATCGATTGGCCGAAAATCCGTGAAGAAGAACGGAGACTGAAACATGACGTCATGGCACACAATCATGCATTTGGAGCTGTGAGGAGTACGATGAGTTATACTTTTACATTATTGTATAATATCTGAAATTTTTAAGGTCTGTCCTCTTGCGGCTGGAATAATTCACCTTGGAGCCACTTCTTGCTATGTACAAGATAATGCCGATCTTATCGTCATTCGTGATTCAGTGAGGCATTTGCTTTGTAAGTGAGTGTACATCTATTTATCTATTCCTAGGGTTAATGTTCGTATCTTGAAGTCATTTGTTAGACGAAATTATCATGTTGCTCAAAAATTATCTCGCTGTCAGCGCACATCCTGTATCCATCTACTATTAGTCACAAATGGAATAACGGGCCTCGCTTAAGTACGCGCCGCATGGTAACGATAGTGGGTTTCTTAGAATATGCGCACACTAAGTCGTTAATCTTCTTCCCATTGTCTTTTGCCGACCTTTAGATATAGGGCTGTACGTGATCGCGAAGGTCGGTGAGATTGCGGCCATTGGATTCACAAGGCTCCAAATTTTAACTATTTTTCAAAATCGCTTCTTATGATTGAAGTTGACGTATGATAGCAGAAAAACGTGACAAGGATAAGGGACCCGTCATATCGCCGAAAAAAGCCCAAAAGAGCTCAAAAAAGCCCGAAAAAGCGCGAAAGCGCCAGAAAGAGCCTAAACGCAGAAACACACTTTTGGTAGAATATGATATCATTTTATCGTGCAGACGACAAAAAATGAACCAAAAAGACTCGGGAAATCAACACACATGCCTTAGCGCCAAAACGTGCGAGAAGTGTTCCAGCTCTTTCTGGCGCTTTTAGGGATTTTGCTTTTCCGGGCTTCTTTGTGCTTTTTTCGGCGAAGTATGACGGGTCCCAAGGAGAACTGAGAAAGCATAATGTGTGAGCGATGGCTACAATCTCACTAACCTTCAAGTCACGCGACAGTATCAATCCAAAGCTGGCTTCCAGTTTAGATGCACAGTGTAAACCAATCATCGATTGCCTTTTCATTACAGCAAGACTGGTAATAGGAACGAGCGTTTCGATTCATTGACAATCTCACCAACGAGTCTGAGTCGAGTTGAGATGAATCTGGGTTGCTTCAAAAAGCAAACCAAACAGCCAAAAAATTATTGCACTAGGCTAGTCAAAGTCGCTGAACCTATTAAGACTAATTTACTGTGATGTTTATTCATAAGTTATGCCGTATGCAATAACAGCTTATTTCTCAATGTTTTTTAAAATATGATTGCACCATTCAATAAGCTTCGAGAAATCAGCGTGGGTTAATACCTTTTCACACATCTTGTCAGTTTTGAAATTTTTCCTGAACTGCAGTTTTCACAATGGCGCTATATGATGGAAGTTATATATGAATCGTTCCCGACTGTAAATCGAAGTCGAAGCAGGCTTCAGAATTTTAACTAATGTGCAGCAAAAGGTTTTGTAGAAACAAATATATTGACGACCAAACAGTGTGTACAATGGAGTCGACCGGCAAAACACCGGCATCAAAGGCACCGTCCACCCAAAATCTCGAATTCAATGTTTTTGTCGCCTTCAGGCCTTCTGAAAGCCCTGATTCCGAATATGGAGTCGAAACTCCGCGAAACTCCCAAAAATCCCCATTTCGAGAACCCCTGCAACAAGCGCAGACGAAATAAAGCATGCAAGTGCGCGGAGCGACCATGGTCGTCCCGCCTACTTTCTTACTTCCGGAGCGGATTTCTCGCTCCAGAAGCAGTCTTTCGCGGCAAAGCTTGGGGGTTTGCCTGATGTGAGGGCTCTCACTAGTATGCCATCATGATCTCGCCAACCTCCATTTTGGGTGGACGGGCCTTTAAAGGCATGATTATTTGTTCGCAAATTTTACCGCATTTTCTCGGCACCGCAAGGGCACCAGGGGCGGTATGCATCAATCTCCCGTTTTGAAAGCGGGCAATCATTTTCAATAGAAAGTGATCGTCCGGCGGGGTTGGGCGCCCAACCCCGCCCAACCCCCAACCCGCCCAACCCAACCCAACCTAACTTAATTATATTGTGCTGAAACCATGTATGCGTCACCTCTCTTTAGCTGGCAAAACTCCGGCAAAACTCCACGGTATGCGCCTTAGAAGCCTTTAGCTACGGATGCGCAGCTGTACATGAAATGTCCTGTCTACACTAGGAAAAGATACACGCGCAGCTAGAGTTAAATTGAGTGGTTGGTAGAATAAGTTGAGTGGTTGATAGTGTTTAGTAAGCTACTGATTTATAATGTCTCACTTTGTTTTGAAACGAGCTTTTACAGAGCTGCTACAGTACTTGATCGCATTGCTGCGTTCGCTGATCGCGAGAAGTCCCATGTCACCGTTGGACGTACACATTACCAAACCGCTTCTTTAGTCACGATTGGTAAAAGGGCTGCATTATGGGCACAGGAACTGCTTATGGCTTTCAAACAGGTGATTCTTTTTAGCTATGCTGCTTCCTTAAGTCTTATTGATGTCCATTGTCTAGCTCGAGCATTTCCATGACAGCATGAAATTCCGAGGAATCAAGGGAGCCACGGGTACTCAGGATTCCTTTTTAACACTGTTTGGTGGGGACGAGGAAAAGGTTTGCCGTGCTCAGCACCTTGCTTCTCGATGCATTATTGTCGGTTATTGTTAAGGTCGAAGCTCTTGACGAGATGATCACCGAAAAAGCAGGTTTCGCTCACAAGTTTTCCATTTCTGGGCAGACTTACTCAAGGCAGCAGGTACAAGGAGTGTAAGATATCAGATCTGGTTCTACGTAGCATCATAAGTGCAGGATGTTTATCTGATCTTCGCTCTATCTGCTATCGGTTCATCTGTGAAGAAGATCTGTACTGACATCAGAGTATTGCAGGCTATGGGTGAGCTTCTGGAACCATTTGAAAAGGTACGATTGTCTCTGTCTAATGAACTGGCTGTATATACTTCTCATTAGGATCAGATCGGCTCGTCTGCCATGCCTTATAAGAAGAATCCGATGAAAAGTGAACGTTGTTGTTCTTTAGCGCGTAAGCTCATTCATATGCCACAGGTATTGCTCTAGATCGTTCTTCTTCTCAAAAGTGAATTAATCAAGGAAGCGCTAAGCATACTGGGTGACCAAGGTTTGGAACGCACCTTGGACGACTCTGCTGGCCGTCGAATGCTGTTACCAGATGCTTTGCTTACAGCTGAAGCAGTGCTAACCACTTTGCAGGTTTGAAGCCAGTTGTCAGAGATGAAAACAAAACGCATTTGAGGAAATTTAGAATGTTTTCGAAGGTCTAACCGTGCAAACGGAAAACGTGGCTCGTGTAGTTCGAGAGGAGTTACCTTTCCTCGGACTAGAGAAGGCGATGATGTGGTTGACCGAAGAAGGTGTTGACAGACAACAGGTCATTTATATCGATCTAAAACATTCAGCTGAGCTTTCTGCGTAGACACTTATACATTCGAAATTTTTTTCGGAATTTTCGAATATCGAATGATATTCGAAAATCTTTATTTTCGAATATTCGACTTCCGAATAATATTTGAAAATCGAATATTTCGAATATTCGACTATCAAATAATGCTCGAAAGTCGGAAATACCAGTTAGAAAATCGTGACTTATTATGAACCGCTTCTGAAGCTTTCTGGAGTTTGTCCGTTGCGAGGTTACAGTGAGAAGTGATTGACAGTACTTCAAGCATGTGATATCTGATAGCGAGGGAGGTTCATTCCCACTTTCTGTCTTGCTTATGAAGGTTCATACCAATACCTGCGCATAGTTGATGCCAGGTTACTGGCATAACTGATTAGTTTTTTACTATTTTGTGTGATCCCCCGGGGATCCCCAGGGGACCTGTAGGAATACTTGCATATAGGTAGATAACCTGAAATCTTTCACTATGAACGCATTAAACAGGGACGAGAAGCTGTACAAGTCGCATTTTCCAGCTTTGTTCACCCCGTGATGATCCCCGGCAGCCCGTCATCTTTTCTTTGAAGCCATTTTTCTTTTTCGATATTAAAAACATTCCAAAGTCGTGCTGTATCTAGCCTAGCAGTGCTAATCATGTTTCTAGTAATAACAAGTGATAAGTCAAGAAATTTGCTATGAACCACAATCGAAAATGGGGTTTACCGAAAAAATCGAGATTCCAGAAACTCATTCGTTATTTTGCAATATGCTTAGCACTGTTGTATTAGATGTATAGTACAACTTGGAAGGTTTTCGTTAACTTTAATGATAGAAAAGTGACTTTAAAGAAAAGACGGTCGGCAACCAGGGATCATCAGGGGATCAAACAAAAAGCTGGAAAATGCAGCTTTTACAGCTTCTCGCTCTTGCTCGATATGTTCATGGTAAAGGGAGTGATGGGAATACTTACGGATAGATAGACAGCTTGAAATCTAGATATCTAGCTTCAGGATAGAAAGCTTTCTTCTGGAGCTGCGATCCCCTCCCCGGCGGGGATGTTAATGAATGCGGCCCTTAGATTTATAGTATGAAGCTATTCACCGATCACACAGCACTGCTGTAGGATTATCGAAAATTGAAGAGGGTTTTGAGACATGAGACCCATGTTTGACCTGAGAAAGGAAGTCAAAGCCAAAAAACTACATTGGGCTTTTCAATGCCATCTTTGACTATAAATATGTGCCCAAAATAATGCTTTTCACATAAGTTATGTCAACACCGTAAGGCCTCGGGCAGAGTTCACGCGATTTGATTGTCGCAATTCAGTCGCCGCTGTTTCCATTCATTTTATTTTACATTTAAAAATTTCGGCTGGAAAAATATCACAATTGAAATGCAAGCCGGTCGGCATGCAATGAACTCGTAACAGTTGTCTTGTCGCGATTGAATCGCGACGATCAAATCGCGTGAACTCTGCCCTAGGCCTAACGGATGTTTTCAATGTTTCTCCGCAACGTTAATACACATCAAGAAACTTGAAACTCCGAAAAGTCGTTCAATGAAAATAACTTGAGTACCCTACGGTGTATAAGTCGCAGGCAGGGGAATTTTTTTGGAATGGACCAGCCCAAATATGACCAAAGGCTTTGGGATCAAAGGACCCTATGCCGCTGCGTATTGCCTAAGAGAGCCGCGCGGTTTAAGGATCGCTTTCCGAAACACAGTGAAACGACTGAGCACCTCCTTATTCTGAAAAAGGCGGCTTATACACCTGAAAATAGGGTGAATTTGCTTAACAAAATTCTAAATTCCTTTGGAACTTCTTTGAGACGGCATCTTTCGCAGTGGATCTGTATGCCAGGAGTTCCTGCGCCATGGATATCAATCGCCTTTCAAAATGGTTTATGCTCATCGAATATTCAAATGTGTGATGAACAATGAATGATCAAAATGATGACCATCGAATACTCGACTATCGAATAATATCTGGAAGTTGAGATTTTGGATATTCAACTGTAGAATAGTATTTTGAGAAAGTTTTCGAATAATCGACCATCGAATATCATACGATAAGATTTTTGAAAATTCGAATTTTCGAATTATTCGCATTCGGGTGACTTATTCAAATAATCGAATGATCATTCGATTCGGTCTAAAGTATAGTAGATGCTGATTTGATGGAAAGCGCATAGTTGTGCTGATTATGCCAAAATATCAGCATTGCTATCTCCCTGCCAAATTTGCTGAGTAGGCATTATCTTTCAGGCGCACGCTGTCATCCGTGCGACCGCGCTTGAGGCGAAGAGACGCCAGGCCACTGAGGTTATTCATATGGAAGACATACTACGTGATCCATTCTTTGATTCGGTAATTTAAAAACGTTTTTTAAGACGTTCGTAAACTATCGTTAGTTATCAATCGTTTGCTGAAAATTGGGGACGATCCCACGTCAACGCTCGATTCTGTTTTCCTCGCATTGTAGTGTTGACTTTGAAATTTGCAGAATGAACACATGAACAGAATATGCAGGATTTTTCATGCTGCATGCTTCAGGTGCGTGAACGGGTTATGGTCCTAGTAAATCAACCCATCACTTTCACTGGCCGTTGTGAATCTCAAACTGTGCGTTTTCTCACTGAAGAGCTTCGCCCGGCTATAGCTCCATACTTTGACACGGAAGCTGCGAACGTTCAACTAGACGTTTGAACAGGCTTAGCTTTAATATGTATTTGATAGTAGCAGGATTTTGTCATTTTAGCTACAGAAATATGTCGACAAACTTTTATAATAATTTGTCAGGTGTTTCCGTTGCTCATTTGCTATGAAAGTGCTTACTTTTTTTCCTATAAAAGTTTTAAGTGCATCCACCTGTGATGAACATGCAGCTTTGCTCATATTTTTTGCCGCATTTGCTTCTCGGATGTGAATATTCACTTCCCTATTTCAGTTTCTGACTGATGTCGTCCTTGTTTGGTACCCGTGAAGAATGTCTTTACACAAAATGCTATTGTGAAGAGAATGTCTACAAGTAAGATCACTTTTTTCGTTTAACAGTCGAATTGAATCAGGCGCACTAAAGCTCTCAATCAACATATTATTGCGAAGAGAATGTCTATAAGTAAGCGCATTTTCTTCGTTCAAGATTGGAATTGAAACATTCAGCGTAGTAGTTTCTAGTCAACCAGTCTTATGTTCTGCTCCGAGCTTCAAAGTGAATTACTATTTCAGCACAATCTAGTCACTTCATGTGATCATATGTGTCATCGCACTTAATGCGCGCTTTGCCGTGTCCATCTAGGGACGGTTAGGAGGCACAGTCGGCGCGATTTCTTAGCGAAGTGATGCCGCAAGCGAAGTTAATCTTACAAGAGTCAGCGCTTCTAAGGCAATGCTAGGCACCTGCCATACTTGATTCTCTTGATCCGCATCCACTTGATCCGCTCGATCCGCTTCGTGCAAAACACGCGCGCACAGCAGTTTGTCATTTGGCGCCGTGTAGGTAGGAAGGAATTTTGTATGGTTACGGCAAACGCTGTACGCGACGCCAAATAACAAATTAGTGATGACATGCGAATTCTTTGCACGAAGCGGATCGAGAGGATCAAATATGGCGGGTGCCATACCTATGGCATCGAGTCATGAATCTGCCTCACCCCTTCTCGGCCGCCGTGCCACTTTAACACTGGAGACTTCTGTAAGGCCCAAAATTTGAGCGGGCATAGCGACGTCGCGCACCGTGTACCCCCTGACGTGCAGCGTGCCCATCCTGGTTTTCTGTTCGCAGAAATGGAAGCGACCGACCGATTTTTACGGCTCACATCATTTTGAGGAGTTTCGTACCTATCCTATTTTCAGGTATATAAGCCGCGGGGTGGTCCTAGCTTACATCGACTGACCCGAACTCATCAAAAGATCTCGTAACCAAAGAACCTTATATCGTTGCGTATTGCCTGAAAGAATCGTGCGGTCTAAGGATCGCTTCTCGAAACACAGTGAAGCGGCTGAGCAGCTCTTTGTAAATATGAAAAAGTGTGGCTTATACACATGAGAATAGGGTAGTGAGGAAAGAAACCGTGTTTTTTGCTCAGTACTGAAGGAGACTTGCTTCCGATTCAATACAGATGCGTGGCGGCGTAAAAATGAATTGTAGGGACTGTAGTGTTGTCAGATAATCATCGTCGCGCCAGTCTATGACTTGATCTGGAACCTGATCTGAGGCAGATTATTAGGTACTACCCTAATTTCACGCGTACAAGGCGCGGGGTGGTCCTAGCTTTCATCGAGCTGCTCAGCCGCCCCAGCGTGTTTCAAGAAGCGATCCTTATGCCGCACGATTCGTCAGGCAAAACGCAGCACGGTATGGGGTTCCTTTGGTTGCGAAGTCCTTTGCCGTGTTCGGGCTGGTCGATGAAAGCTAGGACCACCCCGCGCCTTGTACGCGTGAAATTAGGGTAGCTGGCTTACCCGGCTCCGCCGTATGTTCCGAATAGAAAATTCCATTTCTCAACCGATCCGGACCAAACTTGGCACACATACACTTCGGGCCCCGGCGGGTGCCACAGTCCACTTTTCGTTATCGATCGATGTCGATTTTATCGATTTTTTGCAAAATTTGAGCTAGGGGGCTGGAATTTGGTAGGGGGTGTAATCGAGCATGCTGATCATCCCCACGGGGGTGATCAGCATGCTCGATTACCCCCCTGTGCCAACTCCCAGCCCTGTGGCTCAAATTTCGCAAAAAATCGATAAAATCAATATCGATCGATGACGAAAAGTAGCCTATGACACCCGCCGGGGCCCGAAGTGTATGTATGCCAAGTTTGGTCCCGATCGGTTCAGAAATGGAATTTTCTATTTGGAACATACGTACAGACAGACATACATACAGACAGACAGACATACAGACAGACAAACGGACATTCAGCTTTATATATAAGATAGGAATTTAGTTTTTCTCAACCCTTTCGTGCCTTTGTTGATATCAGAGGAGATAGTAACTGCTTATTGAGGAGGATAGGTCTCCGGCGCGCTAGAATAAAGGCTGTATAGTAAGTTTCGACTCAATTTAGGCGAAAGTTGGACTGGCGGGAAACCGCCTCGCAACGATTCGCGCCACTTTGCAGTCTGCGTCTCTTCATTCTAATCTATCTCGCTGGACAAGTGGCGGTGCGAACGCGTTGCTCCACTTGAGATGTTTCGCCTAGTCCGGATTGAAAAAGACTGTATGCTCTTGTGCACCGCTTCGTCATGGAGATGACTAATCTACCCAACAGCAAGGTAGTGCATGCATGCGTTGTGTCTTAAAACTGATGAGTTTCCCACAACGGTACTCTCGAAAACGTATGCGCTAATGCAATTGCAACGCTAGTGTAATTTAATATTTGAGGCTGCTGTACTTCTGTTTCACTGAAAGTTGGGTTGCAACCATTTTTTTATAAGTTTTAACACATGAAGCACGCGAGAAAACACTTCTAAAACCAACTTTTATCATAATATTACAAGTACAGTTGGTAGGTACACAAGAAGTAAATTCCGCTTTCATTGATTGCATCCTTAATCGCTAAAACGTAACGGCGCCTCTGCTTCTTTACCCAACCGCCGCGGCAGGGCTAACCAATCAGAGGCGCACGAATTGGGCTGCCAGAGCTAGCGGTGCAGAATGACCATCTTCCTTGAATAAACATTGACCAAGAATTTTACCAGACGCTGGCCGATGCGCAGAACGAGTTCGCCATGGAGCAGACCAGACTCTTTGTGTCAGTACGAGTAAAATATTAGGTTGTGTAATAAGTTCGTTCGCATTTTTTGTTTCAATTTTTTCTCAATATTTTGCAAAGCATTTGGCAAAATGCTAGCTTGCGTTCGGAAGGTTTAAGTCTGTTCTACCAAAATGCTATTATTATATTTTCAATTCCCAAAAAGGTGAACAAAAAATTCGATTACAAACCGGAAAATCTGAGGAGGCAAATATTCCATTTTCGACGTGTTTCCGTTCTCGTGTTATTCACCAACCTCATTGACTGGGAATAACACGAGTAATACTAGTAACACGCTACTAGTAACATATTAGACACTCTTCCCACTCCTACTACTACTACTAGCATTCTACTGACTAATCACTAGTAACATGCTACTTCTGCTAATTCAAGGCATGGTCCCAAAGTGAACGTGTCGAATGGTTGAAAAGCAGCGAGCTGAAGTGGTATAGGCGATTATGACATGCAAATACACGGACGCCACTGCATCCGACGAAGATTGTTCATGCAAGAGAGAGACAGCAGATGGTAAGGGAAACAAAAGAGCGCTATCAGAAAGACGCCATTACGTGGCCAGTTGCGTGCGTTGAATCGCCTATGCCTTTGGGAGGGAAATGGGGGGGGGACGGTCAGGAGGTACGATCGATGCGAATTTTTCGCGAAGCGACGCCGCAACGTAATTCAGCCCTTACAACAGCAGCGCTCCTGGAGCGCTCTTGCTTATAGCATTAAATCATGTATCTGTCCCCATCCTCATCCCCCTGTTTTTGCCGCCGGGAATCTCTATTGGCGGAGAGTCTTGGAGGCCCCAAGATTTGAACGCGGCATCTGCGGAAGAGCGGCCGCCGCGCGCGGCGTACCTCCTGACGTGCAGCCGGGAAATGGCCCTTTTGAACCGCTCGCTAGCACGGCGCGTCTCTGATTGGTCAACATGTCCTCTGCTATAACGAGTTAATACTAATTCATTTTTGTACATCTTTCGTGTCCAACATGATGATAGGTTTCTCACAGGTATTGTGCATGCTTCAAATCAAGAATTTTCCCCGTTGACTGTAAATGCAACTTGTTAGCTTTGTCAGCGGCGCCGCACGCGGCGAAAAGAGCATTACGCGTGAAGGGTTCAGAAGGGCCTACACCCGAACATTTCTGGAGGATAACCATATGATTTGTCCTAGAGAAATGTTCCTAAGGAACATTTCTCTAGGACAAATCATATGGTTATCCTCCAGAAATGTTCCCATAAGTAGTACTGTCAGGTAGTTGCGTTTTGATCCTTTTTTTCTAACAAGCTAACTTCAGCAAATTCAAGGCGCTTATTTGAAGATGACATGTCAACGATAAAGGCAGCCACGTTGATGATACCTATGGGACAGTGGCGTACCGAGGGGGAGGGCGGGGGGGGGGGGGGCGCCCCCCCCCCGGGAATGGGTCGCGAAATTTTTGAAAGTTACTTACATGAGTTATAAAAATGTGCAAGTGACTTATTCATAATTGTAGATAATTAAAATAATTTTTAAAATTTTTTAGAAAACCAATTTAGCCTTGCAAAAAATTTTTTCCGGTGGCGTGGCTGACGCCACGCCCCCTTTTTCTAAAATTTTGGGGTTATGGGCCCGCGAAAATTTTGAGAAGCATACCAAAATTTTTTTCTGGGTGCGTGGCTAACGCCGCGCACCTTCATCAGAAAAATCTTTTTGTCCTGCCCCCCCCCCCCCCCGAGCGGAAATCCTGTGTACGCCACTGCTATGGGAACATTTCTGGAGGACTCGATACATGCAACCAAGCGTAAGAGTGCACGAAAACGTGTCGTCACAGGGACAGACATGAAATTAATGGTCAACGTCTTTAGTAGCATCCCGGCAGATATGACGAAACGAAAAAAACGTAAGTGGCAGTAGCGCCCATCCTGATAAAGCTCTTGTCCAATTGGCATCGTAATTCGGCTTCAAAGACGAGGAAACTGCTTTGAAAAGCTTTGACGTGGACGTCCTTTTAGGGCCCGTATGCACGCACTTCTCCGCGAGGAGAAGGGGGTCTGAGAGGGGCGCGTCATATCTCGCTACTCTAGTACTTTCTTCTTTTTCTATCTAGGTTATGAAGTTCCT